TCAAAACAACCCTGAGATTCCACCTCACACCAGTCAGAATGGCCAAGATTAAAACCTCAGGTTATAGCAGATGCTGGCAAGGATGTGGAGAAAGAAGAACATTCCTCCATTGTTGGTGGGATTGCAAGCTGGTACAACCATTCTGGAAATCAGTCTGGTGCTTCCTCAGAAAATTGGACATATCATTACCTGAGGACCCAGCTATACCACTCCTAGGCATATACCCAGAAGATGCTCGAACATATAACAAGGACATATGCTCAACTATGTTCATAGCATCCCTATTTATAATAGCCAGAATCCAGAAACAACCCATATGTCCTTCAACAGAGGAATGGATACAGTAAATGTGGTACATTTACACAGTGGAATATTACTCAGCTATTAAAAACAATAAATTTGAGAAATTCTTAGGTAAATGATGGAACTAGAAAATATCATCCTGAGTGAGGTAACCCAATCACAAAAGAACACACATGGAATATATTCACTGATTATTGGATATTAGCTCAGAAGCTTGAAATACCCAAGATTCATATATATTCAAATATATTGGATATTAGTCCTCTATCAGATGTAGGATTGGTAAAGATATTTTCCCAATCTGTTGGTTGCTGTTTTGTCCTATTGACAGTATCCTTTGCCTTACAGAAACTTTGCAATTTTATGAAGTTCCATTTGTCAATTCTTGATCTTCGAGCATAAGCCATTGGTGTTCTGTTCAGGAACTCTTCCCCTGTGCCTAGGTATTCGAGGGTCTTCCCCACCTTCTCTTCTATTAGTTTCTATGTATGTAGTTTTATGTGGAGGTCCTTTATCCACTTGAACTTGAGCTTTATACAAGGAGATAAGAATGGATCGATTTGCATTCTTCTACATGTTGTCCTCCAGTTAAACCAGCCTCATTTATTGAAAATGCTGTCCTTTTTCCACTGGACGGTTTTAGCTCCATTGTCGAAGATCAAGTGACCATAGATGTGTGGGGTTCATTTCTGGTTGACCCACCCTTCTAAGCCTTGATAGTCTTAATCTTGGTGGATGGAGGAATGTGTTTTTAAAGCAAATTCATTTTCTCTCCTTCCTACCTCCCTCCCCCTCTCTGTATGCACATGTATGTGTTCATGTAAGCACACATATATACATGTATGTATGTTGGCCTTGGAGAACATAGAGAAAACTCAATGATAACTCTTAAAGAGTGAATCTGTATAGATGGAAATTCAGTGAGGCGTCTAGATATGCTCAGGAGAGTTCTCTGTAGTACTCTTTTAGTAAATACCCAAAAATGGCAGCCTACTCTTAATTTGCATCTACTCACTCTTGGCATCCCCAGAATTCTTAAAATTCTTATGATTTTCATATAATAACTTTACGATAAAAAGATATTTTTCCTTCCCACCAAGTACTAACCATGGCAAATCCTGATTTTTTTTTTTCTGAGACTGGATGAGACCAGGTATGTTCAGGGTGGTATTACCATAAATTAGAAAGACACTTTTCCTATGAAAGCCAGCCATTTTCTTTGCTGCACATAATAGACTACAGGATCTTGAGTAGAGAGCAACCTGTTTTCATGAAAGGAACGTGGGTCTCTCCTACGCCACTGTTACAAGTATAGGGAATGATGTATGGACCATCAGAAGACTAAGTTCTAGACATGACTCTGGTATTTACTAGCCATGATGCTATCTGGGTCACTTAGTATCCTAAAATTCCATTTTCATATGCATAACTCGGCATTATAGTTGATTTATCTGCCTCGTGAAGCATGTACAAAGCAGTGCATGCTGCTATACAAGTCTTGGAATCTCTATCTGGAGGCTAGCTGTCTAGCACTCTATAACTTAGACATAAAAATTAAATGTAAAAAGTATAAACAACTTGACCTAAGTCAAAGATTCTTGCTCCAGTCCATTTATTAAAGTCACACGGACAGACAACTTTTAGAAAAATATTGTAACCTGGGGCTGGTGAGGTGGCTCCGTGGTAAAGGCCTTGCTGTGGAAGTCTGGCAACCTGAGTATGATCCCCAGAGCCTACATAATGCTGGAAGGCCAGAATCAACTCCAAAAGGCTGTCTTTCAGTGCTGTGGCAAATGTCTTTCCTCTATAAATACTAATTTTTAAAAAATTCAAATACTGCTACCTGGTCCCTGGCAAAACTATCAGATGAAGCTGGAGTCCAGAAGTTTTTATTTTATATTTTTAAATTAAATTAACTATCTATCTATCTATCTATCTATCTATCTATCTATCTATCTATCTATTCACCTTACATCCTGACTGCAGCTCTCTCCTCTTCCAGGTCCCCCACATTATACCCCTTCCCCCCATCCCCTGTCTCTCTCTCTGTCTCTCTGTCTCTCTGTCTCTCTCTTTCTCTCGCTCGCTCGCTCGCTCGCTCGCTCAGCTATATAGTCTAGTTGTAATGGGACTTTTTGGATAGACCAGGCTGGCTATACTTGTCTCTGCCTCCCAAGTGCTAGGATTAAAGGTATGAGCCACCACTACTGGCCATGGTAGTTTTAAAGTTATTTTAATGTATAGCGGTTGTAAACACTGTTGCTTTGATCATAATGTATAAAGAATGAATGGACCAGGACTAGGTTGATTTCGTCTCACATAAAGATTGACTCTGATCACTGGAATAAGTACTAGCAGTTAAGAGGCAGCAGCAGTACCAAAAAACATTTGTAAAATGGGAGTAAGCATCCGGACTCCCTTCGCAAAGCTGTGTGGCGGCCTACCTACTCTCTTGGGGGAGGAATGGATCAACTCTGTTTAGTGGCTCCGCCATACTGTTTGATACAGAGCATATCCTAGTTTTCTGGTATTTGTAGTGGCCAACTGCATACCATCACCATTCTTAAAAACAGTCAGTTGAAACAGACACAATTATTACCATAGTGAAAAACTCCCTTGCATCTAGAAATGACTTTGACTTTAGGAGATCCTCTAAAGCCCGAAGAAGCAGGTGTTTATGGTAAGCTGTTATAAAGAAGCCATGTTTCTTAACCGTGAGCATTTACTAAAAGTGCATCAATGCCCTGTAGGAAGTGTTAAAGCTCTGCTTTTGCTCTTTCCACAGCCCTTAAAAAGTAATCTAAGGCTGTTCATGATCTGGATGAATGTCTTACACCAAGGATTGTCTTATTTTTTAGTGTCCACATTAGCATTTGCTTTACTCACACATAGGTGGTAAACCATATGACTAGCTGGTGCAGCTGATAAGAAACTATTAGGAACGAGATGATATATAAATGAGGCACTTGTACAGCAGAAGAGACATATGGAGTAGCCAGCGATTCAAATGTAGGAAATGCAGTAGTTCCAATAAAGGAAACGGTAGGCAAAGTGAGTCCTCCTGTGGAGCAAAGCATCCTTAAGTCAAAAGGCCAAAGCCAAACAATCTGCCAGACTCATGAAATAAGAAAAAATTCCGAGTCAGCAAACAGTATAATTTATCATAATTTTAAAGATGCTGCAATGAAAGGGATTATTAAGATGCTAACTGCTAACATTTAAAATGAATTCCACATCCATGAAAAGGACTTGGAAAAATGACTAAGGATGAACTGAAAGTAGATACCATAATGATTCCCAAGGGAGAAAAAGAATTGCTTTTTTGGTGGAGAGGAGCTGGGAAGGCACAGCAGACTATTTAACATACAAAATCTAAAATATGCTGATGTAAGTAGAACACAGTACTAGAACTACTCCCATAAAGATCTAGGATAGTGGTTCTCAACCTTCCTAATGTTGCAACCCTTTAATGTAGTTTTTTATGTTGTGGTGATTCTCAATCATAAAATTATTTTGTTGCTCCTTTATAACTGTAATTTTGCTGTTATGAATCATAATGTAGACTATCTGATATGGTATCTACTAATGGGGTCGAGCCCACAGGTTGAGAGTCACTGGGAGGAATGCAGAGTTAGAGGCATAGCAGGGACTAGGAGATAGCTAGGCTGGACAAAAATGAGAAGCTGCCTCTTGTTATTTGTGCTCTGAGGCTTATTCAAGTGGCCAGTGGAGTTTAGGTGTATCAGTTATTCTTTGAAATGATAATGGTAGTGTCTAGAGTTTCTATTGCTGTAATGAAACATGACCAAAAAGCGCAAAGCAAGTTGGGGAGAAATGGGTCTTATTTGTTTTATACTTCCATATTACTGCTCATCATGGAAGGAAGTCAGGACAGAAATTCAAATAGGGCAGGAAGCTGGAGGCAGTAGCTGATGCTGAGGTCATGGGAGGGTGGCTTGCTCCTCTTGCTTTCCTGTGGAACCCAGGACCACCAGGGGTGGCACCACCCACAATGGGTTGGGCCCTCCCCCACTGACCATTAATGAAGAAAATGCTCTACAGGATCCCTCTTCTCAGAGGACTTTAGCTTGTGTCCTGTTGACATAAAACTACCTATGTGGATCTGATGACTCATGGTTTCTTTTTTGGGTCAATTACAGTAAGATGGTTCCCAAAGCAGTGAAATCAAGATGGCTTGCAGTTCAGAAGCCAGGGCTGAGCAGGAGGCTGCTCAGTCTAAGAGGTTTACATGAAAATCAGAAAAAGAATTCTTTGAGTGACTTGAGGATAGTGCCATGCTCAAAAATGAAAATGTATTAATGCTGTAAGCCTTAGGATTCTTGCCCATTCCTTTTGTACTTAGGGGAATGTTTGAGCTTTATTTCATTAAAATAATAACAACATAGCTATGTCAATGATCCTGAATTTTCTATATGGATTCATAAACCTAAAATTGCTTCAAAGAAAAAAAGAGGTGCATAGGTACACTGAAGTTTCTGACAGTAGATAAAAAAACAAGAATCAGTACAGTCAACTGTACTACATGCCCTCAGGAATTCTGGGAAATAGATATGTAGAAATGGAGACATGGCTTATCACAGGAGGCACATTCAGGGATACAAACCAAACCAGCAATCTTTCAAATTTCTTTTAAAGATGTTTGAAACTAAAAAAAGTTAAATTTTAAAATAACTCACCTTATTCCAAGCATAATTCCAGGTCACGTAACTGTCACCTCCCAGGAGATCCTTGAGCCAGCTGACTGGGTTCTGGTAAATCTGACCATTTTCTACCTTAAGTTTACCACTCAGTAAAACACTGGCTTTGTGGGTAGTCTCCTGAAGTGAAAAACAGTGTGAGGTTAACAACCGCTGAACTGTGTGAACTTCTGTTTCTGGCTGTAACATAACATCTGATGATCCCTATCCAACACCATGCAAACAAACAAACAAACAAACAAACAGCAGCAACAACAAAACCCCCCAAACAACAACCTCAAAGACTAATAAAGTTAACATAATAAGATGCTGAGTATCAGGCAAAACAACTACACTGAACACTGAGATGTAAGACCTTAATGTGGGAGGCTTCCACTGCCTCCATATCCAGATCACAGAGGAAGAAAGGGAATCTAGGTAACAACCTAGAGTTGAAGAGGCCAGAACAGGACAACAGTGCAGCAGAGTGAAAGTAAGAGAGGCCTTCAGCTCTTCATAGGGTCTTCCTGAAGGACTCAGCTACGTAGTGACTGATGTTTATGTAGGAGGACAGTATCAGATTGGCTTAGAATGGAAAAAAAAAAGATCCACGTGAAAGAATTAGAGGTAATGATACCTAGCATTCTCACTGGACAGAAACTAATGCTTTTTCTTCACCATAAAACTAGAAAAATCTCAAGATTAAGGGTATCATCAGAAAATTTCATCAAAAACTTGATTCCCAAGAAAAATGTAATTACTCCTAAGTTTGATACTGCTCCAACAAAACTTTAAAAATACTCAAAGGGTCAAAGAGTTTCTAAGCAACCTAACTATATTAAACAACAAATCTTCCAAATAATGTAAAAATGTAAAACTATCCAGCAGTCACAAAACAAGTTTCAATATGGGATCCAATAAAAATAAAAAGGTGCAAATTCAACATTAATAACAACATTAACTTGTTTAAATAACTCATCAAAAGGCAGGTACTGCCAGTCTAGGTTAAATAAATAAGACACAACTACATAATATTTAAAAAAAAGACAGACTTCATATCAAAAGAAATGAATCAATTGAAAATTATAAGAAGAATAAATGTCTCATACCAACAAAAACACAAGAATAATGGAACGGCTATATTAACATCAGAAATACGTTAAACCTCAAATTACGAGAAATAGAGAGACATTATATAATGCTAAGAGGGTTACTGTATCAGGCAGATAGAATAACTATAGGCACACATGTGCGTAAATTCAAAAGAGCTCCAAAACACAGGAAGCAAAACTTAAGGGAAAAACAGACAGATCAATAAAAATGGATGTTGAGGATTTCAATGTCTTACTTTTAACAAGGAGGTATAAAGATCAAATAGGCAGAACACCAATTAGAAAGACAATACTCAACTTTTATAAAGTTGAACACTAGACTTAGCAAGAATATACAGAAATCTCTACCCAAGTGGGTTATAGGTACAGACCTATAATCCGAGTACTTGAGAGGCTGAGGAAGGAGGATTATGAGTTTAAGACTAGCCTCAGTTAAAATAAAAATAGTAAGATCGTGTATTAAAAACACCAAAGGATGGCGATGAAGCTCAGTGGTATAATATTTGCCTAGCATATACAAAGCTCTGAATTCAGTCCTCAAAAAAAGAGAAAAAAAAAAGAAAAAAAAGAAAACAAGAAAAAAAGAAAGAAAACCACTTAACATAAAATTTATTCACTATTACTGCCTGTGGAACATCAATTAGGAAAGGACAAAAACTTAGCCTCACAAACTTTAAAAAGAAGTGAAATAATGTAAAGTATGCTCTCTAACCACAATGGAATAAAAGTAGAAATTATTAACAGGAAAAAAACAGAAAGCTCACTATTAAATAAAAATCAAACAACACAATCCCAAAGAACCAGTGAATCAAAGAAGCAATCAAAATACAAATTAGAAAATAATTTGGAATAATCTGGGATATGGCTCAATGGATAAAGTATCCACATAAAAGCCATTGTACCTGAAACAAAGCAATGGAATGGGACAGATAGGTCTTAGCTATTCTCTGGCTAGCTAGCCTTGAAAACACAGTGAGCTCCAGGTTCAATGAGAGACCCTGCCTTTAAGTAAGACTGACAGCAGTAGAGGAATATGCCCAACACTGACTTCTGGTATCTATGGTTGTATACATGCATACACACACAAGTACACATATGTACATACCTCCTCTCTCCCCCCCCTCTCTCTTTCTCTCTCTCACACACACACACACACACACACACACACACACACACACACACACAC